GGCCAGTTCCCCCAGGATTCCTGGGAACCAATCCATTGCAGGGGGCAGGTCTGCCTTTGAGAGGTCTCTTCCTGCAGGCTGACTTCATGGATCACTGGGAGTGTGTAGGAGGGTGGACAGAGAGGTACTTTGTGGGTAGGGAGTAGGTGGGTGAGCAGAAGGCTCCCTGGGTAGACAGACCCTGCTCTTCCTGGGATGGCATGGGGGTCTGAGCCCAGCCCTGGAGCTACCCAGGCTCTCCCTGACTCTGTATCTGGCTTGGGGCAGGGATCAGGAGGGCCTGCTGCCCTGGGCTGTGGAGAGAGACTGGGCAGGGCAGAAGTCATACTCATCCTTTCATTCATTCATCCACCCAGAGACAGTGATGCGTGCCTGCTCTGTACCACATCCTGAGCAGTGCTGGGAACCAGACACGAGTAAGACCTGTCACCCGCCCTCCCCCTGCAGCTCTTGGGGAAGATAGACTTGAAAACAGGCAAATGCAACCTGAAATTGTTAGCACAAGAGACAATTGGAATTTAGAGTGTGGGGGTAGAATCTGATTAGGGAAGGAGGGGATTGTCCTGGAAGGATGAAATAATTAGGAGTTAACCTGGCAAAGCCCAAGCAAACCTGGGAGTGGAACGCAGTTAAGATGCACTAGCCCAGGGTCACAGTGCCTGTTTGGATTCCAGCCCCATCACTCCCTTGCTTGAGTAGCTCTGGGGAACTTCTGAGCCTCAGTTTCCTCATCTGCAAAATGGGAACGTTTTCAGTACCTATTTCACAGGGTTGATAAGAGGATTGTGCACCCCATGCTTGGGCTGGGGCCCGATAATTAGTGAGCCTCCTAATAGGTGGTAGCTATTTTTAATCAGGGCATATCTGGACCGGGGCGGGGGGCGGGTTGCGGGGGACCAGGAGCAGAGGATGCAAAGACAGGGGCAAAACAGGAGTGGGGAGGAGACCAGGGGTGGCTTGGGTTCCAAGGTGAGGGGCTTGGACCTAATGCAGAAGCCAGTGGGAACTAATGGAGGAGATAGCCATCTGCTTTTTTTTTTTCAAATTTTCTTCAATAAATAGGTGTTACATCTGTAATCAGAGCCAAATAAGCATTTTCTATCCCGGGAAAGGCTGACTACCCTGGCAGCAATGTGGTGCCCCATTCCTATCCCTCATCCCCCTCCCCCCCCACCCATCCACTTCGCGCCCCATTCTCAGTCCTGGTTAAAAGAGAGGTCAACTGAAAGGAGTGGCCAGAGAGGATGGATATGGAGGGCTGGCAGGCTGTGCCTGGTCTGGGCACCTTTCCCCAGCTCCTTCAGGCTGGCCTTTTGGACTGGGGGAGAATCAGGGGCCTCCAGGCTCTAAGGTGGGCACTGCTGGGCAGTGTGGCCTTTTCCTGTCTGGGGTGAAGGGTGTGGTTTGGAGTTTCCCCACTGATATTAGGGGGACTCCGACAACCTTGTTGGGGAACCTCTAGGCCTGCTGAGTCCAGTGGAGCTCGGCCCTTCCTTCCCCAGTTGCACACAGTTGGAAGGCTGGAAGCAGGGAGAGGCTCAGCAAGGCCACTGAGCTATCTTTGACGGCGCTGGGAAGGCTGAGTTCCCACCCCTACCCCCTAGGCGATTCCCAACCGGCTCCCTCCGTTGCATCAGATAGTCACTGGAGAGCTTTCCAGGGACGGGGGCCAAGACTGCAGAACCGAGGCGCCCTTGGAGATTCCGAGGCTTAGTTAGGTCTAAGAACCTCTGGAGTAAAGCAGGGTCCTGGCAGCCCCATGTCCCTGCCCCCACCTCAGGCCGCTCGGCCCTTGCCTAAGTCCTGCATTCACGGGCTCCTGCTGCCTGCGTCCCAGCAGACCTGCCCTAGGCAGACCACAGGCCCGCCTTTGTGGACTTGCCCTCTCGTATGGGCTGTGCCAGGAGGGGCTGACTGCATTCTGCCTGCAGCTGGGGCAAGCCCCCGAGGAGCCTGGGCCCCCCTTGGCCACCATGGAGAGATGGAGCTGGTGTGAATGCAACATCCTGCATTTTCAGAAGTTAACTGTGGCGAAGGGCAAGCCCTGGAGAGACAGCTGCTCGTTTGAGAAAGATCATTCCTTCATTCATTCACTTATTAGACGCTTACTGAGACTCTGCTTTGTGTCAGGCCCTAGGCTGGGGACTTGTGCTGAGACACATGACTCGTGCCCTTTTAGGGAAAAAGACTGGAAGGAAACACCCTGCATTAGAGTCACTTGGGGGGCCCCACCCCCAGTTGCAGATACCCCCAGTTGCAGATTCAGTAGGTCACCATTGAGGCATGAGAATTTCTGACAAGTTCCCCAGTGATGTTAATACTGCTGGTCCAGGGACCACACTTTGAGGACCACTGTGATTCAGCACCAGGTGGAGGAATTATGAATGATTTATGTTTTCTGTATTTTTCAAAACTCCCTATGATCACTGTTTACTTTTTATTTTAATTGAAGCAAAAAGGAATTTATCGGGAGGATACAGGAAAAGCGGAAACATCTGGGCTAATAAAAGGCCTCAGGGACCTGGGTATTAGCTGGTACTAAAGGGCAGTTGGTTCAGGTTGCTGCCAGTGGAATGGCCTCAGGTCATCTCACTCCAGTTTACTTTTATAAATAGAAAAATCAGTTATTTGAAAGCTTAAAAAAAAAAAAAAGGTCTCCCAAAACGACTCCAGTGCTCTGGATGGGGTCCTATGTTGAGGGATGTCACCTCCCATGATCTAAATGTCATACATCTGTTAATATAGCCCAGCATCATGAGCTTATGTGCCCCCTGCACTTCTCCTTGGCCCATCTTGAGCTTTGGGTCCACTCAGACCCCCACCTCCTCCCTCTCCAGTCAGAGTGACTGCAGAGAGAGAATAAATGAGATGCTATTAAGTAGCATGGGGAGGATTTGAACACAGGCCCATCGGGAGGCGGGATTAGCTTGGATTTAGCCAACTGGCCTGTACTTCCTGAGTGCTGCTGCCTTCATGGTTCCTTAATCTGCCAGCTGAAATCGCATGTGGACTCCTCACTTCCTCTTTTCTTTAACTGGTGTGTTCATTGACTGTCCCACTTCCTGCTTTTCCTCTTAGTTTTGTCCACTTGGCTTGGCGGGAGGGTGGTGAGTCTGTGTGCATATCAGGGTGGGGGTGGGGTGAGGGTGAGTGTCCTGGTGAGATGACCATTCCTCTGCAGTGGTGCAGGCAGAATCATATACACTTTGCGGGGGGAGGGGTGCTGCTGAACCCACCCCTAGAAGAGAGGCTTTAGTGGCAAGTGAGGATTAAACCCTTCAGTTGATAATGGGAACAGGACAGTGTCTGTTGGGGTTGGGAGAAGCAAATACTGTCCCCTCTTGTCTTCCTCGCCTGAGTTCAGAATCTTTTTTTTTTGCTTCTTGGGCCCCCTGTTCCATCCTCACTGTCCTTGGGTGCTTTCGTTGGCTCTTCAGGGATGCCTTTAATCTTATTTAATCCACTGTCATCAGAGTAGATAGTATTATCAGAGTAGATAGTATTACCCATTTGTAACTCGGTTCTCAGTTTCCATATTTGTTATTAGACATAATAATGACCCATTTCTTCTGCTGGGTCTCCTCACTCATCCCCTTACACTTCATTTCACATTGGTATGCCTTTTTTGATTGTGTAACTCTCTAGACATGTATTCATTTATTCATTTAATATTTGTTGGGAGTCTGCAAGATGCTAGGCGCTGTGCTGGGTGTGGGTGATCCATCAGGGAGCGAGGCGGCCCTCCAGACACATACAGTATCTCTGGGAGACAAACTATTAAATAAAGAATTGCAGATGTGCTCATGGTAACAAAGGGGAAGTGGGGGACATCTGGGAGCTGGTGACAGAGGTGGATAGGAGCTGCCCTGAGGAAGTGAGGCCACCCCTCACAACCCCCTCCACTTAAACTCTTTACTCAGCCCTTCAAGGCCCTGGATGGCTGACCCCTGTCTGTTTCCCCAGCTTCATCTTAACCCCTATAGCTACCCTGGCCTCCTTGCTGTATCTTGAGACACTCTCCAGCCTCTGGGCCTTTGCATGCGCTGTTCTCTCTGCCTATAGTCATTTCTCTCTGGTTCCCTCTCTCTGCGTGGCTGTTCCTTCTTGCCTCAGCTCAAATATCCCATTTTTAGGGATGGCCTCCCTGACCATGTCCTCTAACATAGCACTACTTTATCATATTACCCAGGTGGTGGTTTTTTACATGTTTATCTTCATAGCTCTTAACAGTATTTGAATTTATTTGTTGGTTTACTGTGTGTCTCCCAATGAGACTTGGGGCTCCAAGCAGAAGATCCAGTAGGGGCCATGTTCGTCTAGGTCACCACTGTTCCTCCCCACCCCTATGCTTGTCACAGGGCCTGGTACACAGTTGGCACTCATAAAATGCTTGTTGAATGAGCCCTGTTTCCCCAGTGTATTAGTTTCCTACTGCTGCTCTAACAAATGACTACACACTTGGTGGCTTCAAACAGTACCAGACTATTAGCTTAAAGTTCTGGAGGTCAGAAGTCTGAAAATCAAGGTGTTGACAGGGCTCCGTTTCTTGTGTGGGCTCTGGGGGACCGGTCCCTTCCCTGTTCCGCTTCTAAAGGCTGCCCGCATTCCTTGGTGTATGGCCCTTCCTCCACCTTCCTGCCTCCACCCTCTGCCTCTGTCGTCACATTGCCTTCCCCCACTTTGATTCCCTTGCCTCTCTTAAAAGCACCGTGGTACTTACATTGGGCCACCCAGATAATCCAGGAAAACCTCCCAATCTTGAGATCCTTAACTTAATCACCTTTGCATGGTTCCTTCTGCCATATAAGGTAATATATTCACAGATTCTGGGAATTAGGACATGAACATCTTGGGGGGCGGGGCGGGTAGGAAGGCGTTATTTAGTCTACTGCACCCAGGCGCCACCAGAGTGCTTAGGACAGCGTTAGGTGTGGCCTGTACTCAGGCATGCTGGCCACTGTCACAGGGCCCAGTGACCTGACCGCCCCTTCCCCCTACAGGATGAGATCGAGGAGCTGCGGGCAGAGATGCTCGAGATGCGGGACGTCTACATGGAGGAGGATGTGTACCAGCTGCAGGAGCTGCGCCAACAGCTGGACCAGGCCAGCAAGACCTGCCGCATCCTACAGTACCGGCTGCGCAAGGCTGAGCGCCGCAGCCTCCGTGCCGCTCAGACCGGCCAGGTGGACGGTGAGCTCATCCGGGGCCTGGAGCAGGACGTTAAGGTAAGCCCAGGTGCCTTTGTTGGGGGGTGGGACCCTGAGTCTGAGTGGGGCCCAGGTCAGCCTGCAGCTCACTCCTTGTGTGTCCATCCTTGGGCAAGTGACACCACTTTTCTGGGCCTCAACTTCCTCGTCTGTAAAGTGGGGATCCCTGATAAACTGACAGCCCATCAACCAGGGATGTCCCAACGTGCTATCATGATACGAATCCTACTAACAGCAGCTACTGTTTGAGTAGCAGCCACATACCTGGTGCTGGGCTCCTCTGAGTTGTCTGTGCACAGTTCTGTATTGTGCTAGTTCATGGAGAGAAGTGAAGGCCTGGAGTTGGGTTGGGCTGGTTTAAACTTGGCACCAATATGCCCTAAGTGTATGATTTTGAGCAAGTCCCCTGAGTTTCAGTGTCCTCGTCTGTAAAAGGGTATAATAGCAGCCCCTGCTTCACAGAGTTCTATGAGGGTTAGATGACATAATGTAGGTAAAAAGTCACTATAAGCACCCCAAAATGTTAGCTGTTGTTATTATTCCCATTTTCCAGATGAGGAAAGTGCAGCTCAGAAAAGGTAAGTACCTGTCCACAGTCACATGACCGTGTAGTCTGCAGAGCTCAGGCCCGTCATCCTCCCATGCCTGGCTGCCTGACCTCACACAGCCTGACCTGGCTGCTATGCATCAGCGATCAGAAGAGGGATGGGTTGGAGGCTGGCAGGCAGGGCCTCCGGAAGAGACAAACACCCTGCCTATGTGAGCCCTGGTTAGGGGCAGAAAACTTGGTCGGGGAAGACCCGGCCTCCTGCTCACAGAGCTCAGCCCAGCGTGATCATGGGGATGAAGGAGGTGGGGGTGGGGCATCTGGCAGCCTGGGGCCCCTAGGGAGTCTTCCTGCAGTGGTGACATCTGAGCCGAGGCCTGAGAGAGAGAAGGTGGCAAGAGTTGGGAGGGGAAGGAGGAATGCTGGAGGAAGGGGCCCCTCTAAGGGAAGGGGAGGTGAGCAGTGAGCGCCAGCACCATCCTCTGTTGTCTTCACATGCCCGGTGGGATTCAAGGTCGGCTGTACAGATGAGGAAACGGAGCTCAGAAAGGTTATATCTCCAAGTTCAAAGTGTACTTCTACCTGAGAGGGCAGCTCCCGGGACAAATGTTGACACAGACATTCAAATCCCAGGCACTGGATTAGGGGTGTGTGGGGTGTGGAAGAGCCTGGGAAGCTCAGAGGAATCTAAGTTTGGGCCCAGGTAAATTGGGGATTTCGGGCAGAGACACAGAAAGTCAGCCTTAGGGAGATGAGGATGGGTGAAGGGCGGCTGGGGCCAGGAGCAGGCTGGCTGGGTTGCTGGGGCCTCCATGAGAGGGGCTGAGAGCAGCTGGTGTGTGTGCGCGCACGTGTGCCCTTGCGTGCATATGTGTGTGTGTGTGTGTGTGTGTGTGTGTGTGTGTGTGTGTGTGTGTGTGTGTGTGTGTGTGTGTGTGTAGGGAGGGCAGCTGGGTGGAGGGGAGGAGTAGCCCCTTCTGTTGGGATTTGAACTAGCCAATCAGCATCAACCTTGCCCCCTGCGCTTGCTCCTGTCTCCACGCCTGCAGCTGGAGCCCTGAGCTCCTCCACACAGGCCTGGGCTGGATGCCTCTGGCCACCACCACGCTTTGCCCCATGTGCTGGGGATGTTCTAGGGCATTTTTTGGAGGTCCTCAAAATGCTGACTTCCCTGACCCCGCCTGGGAGGGCTGGATGGACCCAAGTGGGGAGGGGTCCAGGAGCTGCCTAGGAGGGTATCCCTGGGGACTCTCTGCCTTGCTTTGCCAGCTTCTTGGCCCATGCCCTGACGGGCCCCCACCTCTTGGAGCCTCAGTTTCCCCTTCTGTTAAATGTGGGGCTTAGAACAGGAAAATTGTCAGGGCTTTTGTAGCTCCAGTGGTTTTATCAAGCAGGTAGGTTATTGGTGAGAGTGCCATGGCTGAAACCTCAGGCCTTGGTCTGTCCCCCTCTCATCCCCTCCTTGCGCCCAGGTTCTCTCATTCTCTGCTGGTCCTCACGGCCTACAGGACCCACCGAACCTCAGCAGGATCATTACCCAACCTGAGGAGGGCAGGGGCAGGCGTCGGGGGCAGAGACCTGCCCTGCCGCTGGCTTGCTATGTGGCCTTGGGAACGCCCCTTGACATCTCCGAGCCTCAGTTTCCCCATGTGGAAAAGGGAGATTAAACTAATTCCTACCTGTAGAGATTTTTGTGAGAATAAAATGAAATAAAGAGTGCTGAGACCAAAGTACAAAATCTGGCACGGGATGCTCACCCAGCAAATGAACAAATGTTGGTTGTGGTGTGATTGTTCCGGAGAACTTATAAGGCACTAGTAGGTCAAGTGGCTGGGCAGGGGCGGTGAAAGGGACGCCAGAATCTCAACCTCCCTGGGTAGATGAGAATCACCTGGAAGGACTGTTCACAATGCAGATTCCCAGGCCCCACCCTCAGGGCCTGGGAGCCTATGGGAGAGTGTCAGGTCCCAGAATCCCGGATGTAAATTCCTACCTGGAGGGACTCCTGTGAGAGGCCCAAGGACACCCCAGTAAAACGTTTCCTTTCTTAGAAACAGATGTTGCTGCAGAAAAAGTTCTGGCTTTGGGTTTTATTCCTGGGTGACTCAGGCAGGAGTCCTCCCCTCTTTGAACCTTAGTTTCCTCATCTGTAAAATTGGGGTGACATTCCCACCCTCCCCGAGTTCCTGGGAGGATTCAGCCACACAGAGCTCAGATGCTGCCCTCCCTGGGGAGTGCCTTAGTGAGAGGAACTCCCATCCCCCTCCCTGGGGATGCAGAATGACAGGGACACCCTGAGGCCCATGAGGGCCAATGGGTGAAGGGCCAGTGAGCTGGCCTAGCAAGCTGGGCTGCTAGGGCCTGGAGGCTGCTGGTTGCATTTGGCAGGGGCCGGGCCCCAACGCTGTAAACAGTGACCTCATGGCTGAGCGCATTTGTTTGTGCTTTGGGAATTTGCCATGGTTTCCGGAAGCTGCAGCTGTTTCGCCTCCCTAGTATCTCAGCCCCTCTACCTTGGGAGGAGTTGGGGAGGATCAGGAGATGCTCGAATGAGACAGGGAGGTGGGGCACCCTATGAGCTCCTGACAGTGTGAGCCTACCGGTGGGCTTATTATTAACACTTTTGTTGTTGATATTAATCTAATGTGTCATCCAGCTTCAGGCCAATAGCAGGCTCGGGTTGAGAGCAAGACTCTAGAGTTGACCCACCTGCTTTCAAATCATGGTTCCGTAGCTTCCTCGCTAGCTGTGTGACCTTGGGCAAGTGACTTTTCCTTGCTGAGCCTCAGAATGGCGCTACTAATCAAAGCGCTTTGGGATGGGATGAAAGGCACATGGCCGGTGCTGAGGAAGTGACAGCTGATTCTGTAATCACCTGTGAGAGCTGAGGGAGCCCAGGACCACTGAGGCTCAGAGAGGGGTGGGGCAGGCCTAGGCCAAAAGGCTTCTGCCCTCCTGGCTGGCTGCTCTGTGCTCCAATGGGTCTCCATCAGGGGCACAGGGCTCTGTGGGATCTGAGATTAAGTGCCCTTCTATCCACATTGGAATTCTGTAAACTGCCTGAGTTTGGGCTTTTTTGACCTAGCAACTCTCAAGGGTGGGGGAGCACCTCGGGAAGGGGATCCCATGAGGAATGCAGTAGAAGGCAACTGGGATGAGATCCATAGAGTCACTCGGGAACCCAAGAGGATGGGGACAGAGCAAACCCTCCAGAGGGAGAGGAGCTAGCCCAGGTAGAAGCATAGTTGGTAGAGGAGCCCTGGTCCCCAGCAGCTGCTTTCTCACCCCAGTCAGTGGGTGGGAGGGGAGGTTGGGAGAAGCAAGCATCCCAGGTGAAGAGCAGGTATATTATAGCTCCCATATTTCAGTCATTTGCTCCTTCATCTTCCTTTCGCTTGTTAGAGCCTTGGATTTGGTTATTCATCCAACAAGCGTTTATTACGCACTTAATGTGTGCCACACCCTGAGCTGCTGCTGAGACACGGATATAAAGGAGCCCAGGCATGGTCTAGGGCCTTAGTCTCTGTGCCCCATCACTCCTGTTCCCAGGCCTTAAGCAGAATGAATGAATGAATGAAATGTTGCTCGGGACAGAGGTTCAATGGTTGACCTAACAGCCCCAAACTGGGGACCTTAGCCAGAAGCCTGGGACTGAACACCTCCAGCAAAAACACTGACAGTAAACTTAAAGAGTGAGGTTGTGGGGTGTTGGGCCAAGTTGGATAAAATCGGTGCACACAGGGGAAGTAGTAATCTTGACAATGCATCCCAAGTTATTGTAGTTTTTGAGCACCTACTATGTTCCAGCCACCAGCCCAAGCACTATGTTGTTTATACCTCACAGCAGCCCTCGTGACTCAGCTATATCGACCCCCTTTTACTGATGACCAAACCAAGACTTTGCATGGTTAACGAACTTGTCCTGGGTCACACACCCAGTGAGTGCTGAAATCAGGCTCAAGAATCTAGGTTTACCACCTGCAAAGTTCTTGTTCTGAGGGATTGCTCACCCCACTTGGTGGATGACAAAAGCTTGGTGGCCTATGTGAGAGGAGCCTCTTGGGCCAGCTTCTGGCTTCTGGCTGTCCTTGGAGGTCTTCAGGGGTAGAGAGGAGCAGTGGGCAACGGAGGGAGGGGAAGGCAGTGCTGAATTTCCTTTCTGGCCGTTGTTTTTCCTGGCCTGCGTCGCATACTGCCAAAGGGTCTGTGCCGAGCTGGGCATGGGCCCAGGCAGAGGGCAGAGCCAGGGAGGGCCCCCTTCCCTTCCGCAGGGAGGAGGTGCCATGATCATTTCCGACACTGGCAGGCACTGGGTGCTGGGCTGTCTGCCCCACTCTTGCTGGCAAAGCCCTAGTATCCCTCGTGGAGCTCTGGCCACCCAAGCCCCTCCGCCAAGTCCCCGGGGCTCTCCCCAGCTTGGCCCACACTAACTTTATGTGACCCTGAGTGAATCACTTGCACTCTGAGTCTCAGTTTCCTTGCCAGTAAAATGGGGACAGAATTGGAGTAAAGAGGAATGAATCTGGCACACAGTAGGTATACAACCAATGGTAGTGCCCAGCCCACTCAGGGCTGGTTGTGATTTATCAGCTCAGAAAGGCCTTCCTGACATCCCCACAGGCACCCTTTCCTGGCCTTTTACCCCCAGCCAGCAGGGGCCAGGACAGAGGGTATCCTCGAGGAAATGGGGTGCTGTCATAGCAGACTCCTGGAGCCAGGATGGGAGTTTGCAGCTCTCTTTGCTCCTTTCTGCAGGGAGGACTTGGACACCGGCCCAGGCTTTGCCATTTGGGGCATGTTCTATATCCCAGATGACTGGCAACAGGCCCCGGGGTCACATTGTGACCTTCAGCAAGTCCTGCCCCTTTCTGGGCTTCAGCGTCTCGAAGCAGCAGCTACCACTCACCCAGCGCTCACTGTGCAGGCAGTGGGCCAAGCGTTTTGTGCAATATTCAGTCCTCCCGTTGGGCCCATAAGTTGGTGCTATTATTATTGCACCCATTTTGTGGTTAAGGAGACAGGCACAGAATAGGGCAGTGATTTGCCTATGATCACATGCAAATCACTAGCAGAGAAGGGGTTCAAATGACTCGGGGGCTGCCCATCTTGCTCCGGGTTTCCCTTCTCTTTCAAATGAGCTTCTGGCCCAGCCACAGGCTCTTGTGAGGGTTGGCAAGAGGGTGGCTGGGAGTGGCTTTTGGAAGCATTACCTGGTAAATGAAAAGGCACTCCTAGGAATACACAGAGCCTGTACAGCTTTCTGGGGGCTGAGCTGTGACACAGACATAAGGAGCACAGGCTGCCTGAGCTTGGGTTTTGGTTCTGCTACTTCCTGGCTGTGTGACACTTGGTGAGTTACTTAGCCTCTCTGTGCTCAGTTTTCTCATTTGCTAAGTGGGGGTGATGAAAGAATCTGCCTGCTCAGGGCTTGCTCTTTGGCCCAGACGGGATGGCCCCTCAGTCTACTCATGTCCTACTTATCCCCTGCCCTTGCTTAGGTTTCAAAGGACATCTCCGTGAGACTGCACAAGGAGCTTGAAGTGGTGGAAAAGAAACGGGTGCGGCTGGAGGAGGAGAACGAAGAGCTTCGGCAGCGGCTCATCGAGACAGAGCTGGCGAAACAGGTGCTGCAGACAGAGCTGGAGCGGCCGAGAGAGGTGAGGGCCCTGTCCATCCCAGGCAGGGCCAGGCTGGGGGCTAGGGGCATGTGCTGGCCCCACCCAGCTAGTGTTCTCTGCACAGTTAGGCCTCTCTGGCAGAGCTGTTTATTCATTCATTCCTCCAGCACACATTTCCTGAGCTCCTCATGTGTATACTGTGTGCTGGACACTAAGGACGTAATAGTGAATGAAAGACACCAGTTCTTGTCCTCAGGAGCCTCTAGGCTAATGAAGGAGACAGTCCTTCCATCACAGAACCACAGCTGTTGGAAGATTAACTGAGGAAACATGCAACAATGCCGAGCATGGAGCCAGGCCCTCAGTGCCTTAGTTTCCTCATCTATAAAATGGGACAATAATGCCCCAAGCCATTGTGAGGACAAGCTGGGATAACTTGTGGGCACATGCTTTAGCGGCTGCCAGGCATTGCCACTCAGTGTATCGATAGAGATTTCGGGACACTAGCCACTTCTTCCTGAATATGAACCCCAGACACCAGCCTCTCTGTCTTTGATCACACTAGTCCCTCCACCCGGCACGTCTTTTCTTCCTTCTGCTGTATGTTAGGTGGGCAGCATGTTAGGCACCATGCTAGGCACTTAATCGCAACAATTTTCATAAAGGCCCAGTGAGGTTGTGATCATCCATCCCCATGTTGTGGATGAGAAAACAGCCCCTGAAGAGGCAGGGGTGGCCTCAAGGTTTTGCAGCGCCCAGTGGGCTCTGCAGAACGCTGATTGGAAACTATCAGCCTAGGTGACCCCTAGGTGGGCTGGAATCCTCTAGCCCAGGGGTTGGCAAACTGCGGCTCACGAGCCACATGTGGCTCTTTGGGTGCTCTCTGTCTCAAAAGTTTGCCGATCCCTGGAAGAGCCAATCGTGTCCCTTCTCACAACAATTTAAAAATTATTCAAGAGTCATAAATATATTTTTACATAATTACCATTATGTGAATAATATCCTGTAAAATTTTTATAAATGAAACTATGATAGTTTTATTTTCATTTTCAATTTTACGTCAGAGCCACAGTTTGCGAGCCTCAGTTTGCTGACCCTTGGTGGCTCTTCTGCCTCAAAAGTTTGCCGACCCCTGCTCTAGATTCCAGGGGGTCTGTGTTCCAGATGGCCTAGGTGGCTTCTGGCTCCAGAGGCAACTGGGCCTCAGCTGTCTGGCTGCTCACGGGGTGTCCTAGGATCGTGCATTGTCCTGCGGCACATGCCTCACCTTCCCCAAGGGCAGGCATGTCAGCATTCCAGGACAGAAACGCCACAGTGCTGAGCCAGAACAGTCCTTAATCTGCCCTTCCCACTGGGCATGTTGGTGTGATGTACCAACAGCTTCTCAGTGTGGGGATGGTATTTGCTGCAAAGGGCTGCTGTGGAACCCCACCCCTCTCCGGGGCTGGGTGTGAGTCCCCCTCTCTCAGGCAGCCTCCTAACTCTCAATGCCTGGCCCATCACACAGGGCATCATTCTCACACATCTCGTTGTCACCACCCTTGGTAGTAAAACGGGGAAAGGATTTCAGAAAGCACCTGGAGGTAAGCCTGTACCTGTTGTAAAGGAGAGAAACTGAAGCCTAGGGACGGACAGCTTGCCTGTTTCACCCAGCTTTTCCTTGGTGGAGATGTGGCTGAGACCCTGAAGTCACTTCCCCTCTAAGTCTTTATCTGTGATTTCAGGGTAATAACAGTATCCAGCTTACAAAGTTGTTTACGACCCTTAATAAGACTGGGTAACTATAGAACACTATGAAGAAGTTTAAAAGAATATAGTAGAATAGCAAATTCCACTTCTGGGTATATATCCAAAAGAATTGAGAGCAGGGATACAAACAGATATTTGTACCCCCATGTTCATAGCAGCATTACTCACAATAGCCAAATGTCTATTGCTGGGTAAACAAAAATGCAGTGGACTATTTATTGGTCAGTCTTAGAAGGAAGGAAATTCTTTTTTTTTTTTTTTAAAGGATCCTTTTTTTGTTTGTTTTTTTAAAGATTTTATTGGGGAATTGGGGGAGGGAACAGTGTTGGGGAATTGGGGAAGGGGAACAGACAAGTTGCTGTCCTTTTGTTCTTGTTCTTCAGTCTAGTTGTGGAGGATGTTGCTTCACTGGCCCATGTTGGCACCATCATTGCGCTCTTCCCAGGCAAGGCAGATCAGTCACCGGCTTCTGGACGGCCGCTCAC